ATACATACATACATACATACATACATACATACATACATACATACATACATACATACATACATACATACATACATACATACATACATACATACATACATACATACATACATACATACATACATACATACATACATACATACATACATACACATGCACATACATATAGCTGCACAGTACTAACTAAGCCACTCTTTTCAATGTCACATATACAGTGCCGTAGAATTTAGATGTGTGGTGCTCCTATATATCTCCATCGACGATAAATCCGATCCAGGCCTTACCTCATGCGTATCCTTAAAAACCCTAAAACCCTAAAACCTAAAAATAAAACCCTTACAAACACACATTCACACACACTACATGCACGCCTCCATAACCCATATACACACGTGTACATATGTGCAAGAATGCACCACACCTACCCACCAACGCACACCATTCTTCTCGCCGTGCCCCGGTATCAGAGCTGAAGAAGCTGGATGTATCCTACTGTTACATAACACCGGCCACAGTCAATCTCATCAAAGGCCTGACGTCTCTGGTATCGCTGGATTTGAGTAATTCGGATCTGGGCGTTAATTCCACCACCTATCTGAACAGGTAACGGTAATTGTGGCGTAGTCAGCTGCGGCGTAGTCGGCGCCGTTCGGTTGGTGATGTGTTTAATGCATGGTGTGTACGTGTCTTCGTTGATTGATTTGTTCATTGATTTGTTCATCTGCTTATATATTTATTCATTCATTGATTCGTTTATTTATTTATTCCTTTATTCGTTTCTTCATTAATTCATTTGTTCATTGATTTGTTTATCTATTTATTTATTTATTTGATTGTTTATTCCTTTATTCGTTTATTTATTCATTAATTTATTTGTTCAATTGTTCATTTATTCATTGATTAGTTTATTCAGTAATTCATTTGTTCATTTGTTCATTGCTTTATTCATTCATTCATTCATTTATGTATTTATTCATTAGTTCGTTTATTTATTACTTCGTTTATTCATGTATTCCTTGATTCGTTTCTTCATTTTATCATTCATGCATCCCTTTAATCAGTGTACGTCCCCATTTCCGTGAGGCCTACATTAACAGTCTCACTGATATTCGGTCGCTGTCTCGATTATTTGACAAGCACAGCTTAGTGACTATTTTTAGGTTGTCTTGTCTATCCGCAATTAGCTTGAACGAGTGCCCTTACCCACTACGCTGCGAAGTTTCCTCCTTTGTATATGTGTGCTATAAATAGCTAAAAGGGTAACTATACGCACTAGCTTTCCTCCTACTTCTGTGTGTGCTATAAATATTTTTTTTCCTATGTATATGTGTGCTATACATGGCTTAAAGGGCAACTATACGCACTAGCTTTCCTCCTATTTCTATGTGTGCTATAAATAGCTTTCTTCCTATGTAAATGTGTGCTATACATGGCTTAAAGGATAACTATACGCACTAGCTTTCCTCCTATTTCTGTGTGTGCTATAAATAGCTTTTTTCCTATGTATATGTGTGCCATAGATGGCGTAAAGGGTAACTATACGCACTAGCTTCCCTCCTATTTCTGTGAGTGCTATAAATAGCTTTATGTGTAGAGCCATACTCCCCAATTTTTGAAACTTAATTTCCTATTTCTGTGTGTGCTATAAATAACTTTACCATTCATAATAATTTTATTCGTTTTCTCCCATTTCTGAGTGTGCTATAGTTAACGTTACCCAGACCAACTATTTTTTTAAACGTTTCATCACATTTCTGTGTGTGCTATAAATAGCTTGACCAGTCTCACAGCCCTCAAATTAACGCGTTGCGGGTTGACTGATTCGGATGTGAACTTCATCAAGACCACGGTCAACATCAAGGACCTCTCTCTTGCCGGCTGCCCTATCACCAGTGAAGGCTTGGGTAAGAGTGTTCTAAACCATGTTTCTGTAAGGTTCAGGGTTTTTAGGGTTTAGGGTTTATGTGTGTATATATATACCTAAAGGCAAGATATTTAATAGAGATGGTTTTTATCGAGCCTCCCACGCAACCGAAGAATCTAGACCTTTCCCACACGTGGTGGACGTGTTGTTTTGTTCGGCCAAACAAAGGCTGCCGCAGTCCCCTCACTGTTTCAGATCGATGTAAGCCAGTGATGTGTGCGTATGCCTATATGTATATATACTATATGTACACACATGCACACTCCCATTACGTATACTTTTATGTATGCCTATATATATATCGATATATCTATAT